GACAATCTGAACCAATCTACGGGCAGTATTTTAGGCCTGACACTTATCGTTTATGCCATGACCATTTTCTTTGTAACTTTGGCTACGTTCACTCTGCAGGTCTTGATGCTCAATTCAGATTTTTTGATCAAATCCGATGTTTTTGTCTGCTCGTTCACACTACAAATAAAATGCGACAGCAAACGCGCTCTAGTGTGAACGCTCAAAGCGGCGCATGCACAAAAGAAGACGTCACACACAACACGCTCTGTTTAGACCCAGAGCAACAGTGTTGTTTGACTGATGGCCCTTAATATAAAGACTTTGGACTTCACGTTTCCCAATTTTTGCTTTAAGTTATTTTGTTATTTACATAATAATGTAAATAACCTAATAATGATCCTTATTGCTGTTTTAGAGAAGCGCTGCTTCAAAGGATAGCTGCAGATTTCTGTCAGAATCTGCAGATTATACAGTACAAATAAAATGTTCACGTTTCTCCAACGTTGTCTTCCCAACAGTTTCACTAACATCTATACTGGATGGCCAGGAAGCGTTCGCGATGTCTTCTCCGGCGCTGATAATTGGCGTCTGTCTTGTGTCGGTGACGTAAAAGACGGATTTAATGCGACTTGACCAGCAGTCGCTTTCTGCAACATCGGATATGTATCGGATTCAGCACCACATACGAAAGTGACCCAGATCGGATTTGAAAATATCGGATTTGTGCCGTTCACACTGTCATAGCATGATCAGATATGGATCGCATAGGGTCAAAAAAATCGGATTTGATGCGCTTTCGCCTGCAGTGTGAACGTAGCCTTTGTCATTAGATCCATTAGTCGAGCAGAGCGACTCCATTCTTTACAATACTCGTGTAGATCATCACAGCTGATGTAGTGAGAAGTCAAGCAGCAGCTGGAAAGTTCATGAACATAAACCTTTTTATTTTCTACTTTCAATACAACTAACATACAGTATGTATGCACACAGATATCTTCTCTTTGGATGAAACGAGATATTTTTACTCCATTACAAGTGTTGCTCGTCCTTTAAGGACCTTTCACCTTTCTTTGATCCCACTGTGACAGGATTTTATGGCTCAAACTGTCGTCATAAATGTTTTGTACTTGTAAATTAAATGCATAGTTGTGAACTGAGTTTTGTGACCTTGTAAACCAAAATATTTGAAAATTTAATGTTTGTGCATCTATAGATGAGAATTTGTGTGTTTGTAAGAAATATTTACACAAGTCACAATTTTTTTTGATAAGATCTGGTTACAGATACCAGCAAGAAACTTGTGTAAAACTCTGCGCTGAACTTCCCTGGCTGTGTGTGAGTTTCAACTTACGAGTACAAATTTTGACCCAATTTTTCTTCATTTCAGCTGATTGGTCAATGTTATGTCAATCACAAATGTAACAATCCAATCAGAGAACAGAAGGGTTTGGCTGTGGGTGGGGTGCTTTACTGAGCTCCAGGTCCTGGAAGGGTAATACAGTTATGACCAAAATTTGAGCCTATCGGATGCTTAAATTGGCGAAACTGAGAAGGAAAAATATTTAGGTCACAGTGGCTTACACGACCAAAGTCTGGGAAAGTCAGTGTTTTTATCAATTTTGACTGAGACTTAATTAAATGTTTTCATGTCCTGGTGACCAATGAAATGAGAGTGGCACAAGATAGATAAGGCATCAAAACAACCTATCTTCAAACAAGTTGTTTGAAGATAGCTGCTGAGTTGTGAGATCAACTGTGAGAAGGACTCAGACAGCACCCTCAGTATCAGCCCTGGCTTACTAACACTGCACTCTAGAAAATGCAACACAATCATATCTGTGCTTTCCCCCCAAAATCCAGCAGTGGTAGTTTTGTGACTGCAACAAAGTCCCGACAAATGAACATCAAAAACCACCTTAAACTAACAGATTTTCCCGTGCTCACTTCAAACACTCTTCATAATGCTTCGAGTGCTGAAACATAAAGGCATCAAGGACGCCTCTCATCTGAACGGGGCAAGGTTAAGTTAGAAGGTGACACACTTAAGTGCAACACCGAGAGACTTCGCAGCGAGTTTCAGATTACAAAACTGCCCATTCTCTCCGCTGTGATTTCATAAGAGGCTTTCAGAGATATATCGCTGACTGTGTGTGTGTGTGTGTGTGTGTGTGTGCTGTTACAACACTCATCCACAAGTCTGAGGGCAACAACACTTGTCATTAAGGCATGTCATTCAGCACAGTGAAGAATCCTGTTTGTAAACAAAGCCATGGCAACCGTGGTACTCTCTCACGCTCTCTCTCACAAGTTTGCACTCCCACACGCAAAACTGACACACACACACACACAGGGAGCAGTAAGCTTATTCTAAACTAGTCCCCATCTTGTCATCTGCCTGGATATGACCCAGAAATACAGCCACTGGAACAAATAGGCCACTGTCATATTAATCTCCACCTCTGTAAATGGATGGAAATATAATTTGGTGTGTTCAAAGCAAGCCGTGTCTGCACGCTTTGCCCATCTCTCTCTCTCTCTGCCTGGACAACGATAACTTGACCTCCCCTACACCAAACCCCCCTCACCCCCACCCCAACAGTACGTAACACATAATGACGCCCCGCAAATAGAAAAAAAAAGAGCGAAAAATATCTTACACCCTGTAATTGCACACTCAACTGAAAAAGACTTAAACAGGTAAAGGAAAAAGCAAAGCCGGGAGGGAACAAAAAGCTGTATTCACATGCAGATATTCTCACTGAAAAGCTTTGAATGGCAGAGTCTGACTAAAAATGACAGAGATTCTGTAATTGCAGCTTCAGATAAAGCACAGCACTTGGCAGGTAGAGTAAGAGTCTGCAGAGATGTGCCCTCATTTCCACACCGGCACAGCGCATATGTGTGTGTGAGGCTTTTTAAGCATTCATGCATGCTTGTGAGTGTGTGCGCACTTGTTTGTGTGTCAGACATGCCCTGTGTGTGTGTGTGTGAGCAAGAGAACGAAATAGGTTTGAAGGGTTAATTAGTGTGCTGTCTTAAACTGTGTGCAGTGACAGGAAGACAAGACAAGCTGTCCTTGCCAAACTCACCTCTGCGCACGCTGCTCTACACACACACACACACACACACACACACACACACACACAGACACATATGTGCATATAACACTAGATGAGGACGTATACTCTTTCTCCCCCACTGAACACCTCAGTGCCCATTTCAGGCTAATGTGCACACACACACACACACACACACACACACACAGTTGCCTAAGTCAGTAAAGCCAAATCAGTTTTCCCGTTGCTACAGCAACAGCATACTTTTATATCAACTGCAACCTTGTTACTATGGAGATATGTATACAAGAGAAACTCTGTGCCGTTGTAGTCAAGGGCCAGATGACAGCATAGCGTGAGGGCGTGTGCACAAACTCACACACCATCCTTCATCCATTTTGTTCTCTCTTTCTTTTACACACACACACACACACACACACACACACACACACACACACACACACACACACACACACACACACACACACACACACGCAGCTCAGTCAGAAGAAAGAGTTCAGATTCACACGCTGGTCAAGGAGAGCACAGAGAGCTCTCATATCCCCCCAGTATGATCGCAATCAGCTAAACACGCAAAGCTAGCATTGATCCTCACTGTTTGTGCCCAACCTTCCCCGCCCACCCCCGACACCCTCGGGCGAGATGAAATCTAAAGTCTGTTGGCATCTGTGTTATTAAATCCTCCAGTGTTAATTTAGCGCTAATTGAGTGAGGGATTCATTCCCCGTTTACCCCGAGTCTTTAATGGAGCAAAATCGGGATGAGAACGCCGGTATAAAAGACTGTATCAAGTCTTAAATCAAAAGCGAAATGCTGTTCCCACTGGGGAAGCACATATCATCGGAGTGAAAGAGAACTATGAAAGCAGAGATCATCAACTATTGATAAGGCCGAATCTGGTACAGCTGTAGACAAAATACAGAATATGTTTGACTTCAAGTTGGATATGCCTGCAAACTCGCTGATAACTGTCTGGCTGTGAAATAAGCTATAACCACACATGAGAGAGCGAATAATGGGCCTGTGTTTACCATCTGGCTACAGTGATGCTGTACATCACAGGTATATACGATATAGATTAGGACAAGAATGAGGAGTAAGGATGAAACGGTTCTCCAAATCCATAATCCATGTTTGAGGGCACAGTTTCGATTCATAACTCGTTTTTTTTATTTTTATTCATGAAATGGAAAGACATGATAGCTGGATCACGAATAATCTATATCCAGCTCTTCACTACTACAGCTTTCACTAGACTAGCATGTTATTCCACATGCAATCAGTGCATGCATACACACCATCGTGGCTCTGCCTTATCAAGTCTAACCTGCCAGCTACCATCTCGAATGTTTTACAGGACCTCGGAGTGCTGTAATTCTGCATCCAAAACACTAGTTGGCAGTGTTGAGCCTTTTCATGTGCATAAATCAATGCTTTCTATGGTGCTTGCTGAGCTGAGCAAATCATGTTCGAGCTATTGAGCAAAGATTAATTGCACAAAATGAGCATCAAAAAAGTACTGCGTGCATTTCCAAAGACAGCACAGGCAGCATCTGTATTTCTGGGAGTTTCTTTCTCAAAGTGCAAAATTTAGGAAGGAGAACATTTAAATCAAGCGGATGCACAATTTACTGCTAACTGTCCCGACAGTCCCGTTTGTTCTCCCGAAGTACAGCACCGGCAGTCAAACTGGGAAACAAATAATCCTCGTGATAATCTTGTGTAACTTTGTGCATGCATGTGGAAACAAAGAGATGATTCAATGAAAATTGTGAGCAGTTTTGTATCAGATTTGATTGGCAATTCAGTTTTTAAGTCACTGAAATCATGCAAATTCATCATCTGATGATGTCAATGACTCAACAATAAACCTCGTTTTCCAAACGACCTTGGAAGGAGCGGTTATGCAACATTCATCAGAGTAACGTTGAAGCTCTTTACCTGGCTGCGATCTTTATCCACCTTCTTGAAGCACTTGTTGAGCGACAGGTTGTGGCGCACTGAGTTCTTCCAGCCTGTGGGGGCGCTTGCAAAGTAAGGGAAGTGCTCCAGAATCCAGCCGTAGATATCCTTCACCGGCAGCCGCTTGTTTGGCGCATCCTCGATGGCCATGAAAATCAGGCAGCTGAAGGAGTACGGAGGTTTTCGGTTGGCCCCCGCCGTCAAGTCGTACGCTGAGTGCGCGTCACCGAGCAGGGGGTCGTCTGGGGAGGGAGACGAGGAGGAGGGCGAGCGAGGGTGCTGGCCATCGGGGTCCTGCAGAGGGGAGACGCTACGAAGCCCAGAATGGCTGAAGCTGTTGAGGAGGTCTGTGCTCTCGTGGAGCCAGGAGAGGCTGGTGAGCTCTTCGTCTTCGGCCTTGGAGAAGGAGGCGGACAGGGAAAGGGAGAGGTCAGCTGCCTCGGCTTCAGACGCCGCTGTGGCGGCGTCACCTTGCCGGTACGGCGGGCTCATGCCCTGTGAGGCACTAGCTCCACTACTGGGGCTCTGGGCCTTCTTACTGGGGGGCATGGTGGGTCCCATCCAGCCCAGGGCTCGCTCCTGTAGGCAGCAGAAAAGAGGGGTTTTGGGGGGGAGCAGGAGAGAAAAGAAACAACATTAGCTGATGAAACTGTTGGTTCATTCATTTTTGTTAAAGGCCAAAGGGTGGAGGCACGTAACAAGATTTTGACCACATTCCCAATTAGGCTGCGTTAGATCTGAAGGAGAAAGTATACATCATCATTTCTCTCCTGGGCTTTCTATCCACTTCTGACTGAAACAGCAAATTTAGTGCTTCATCGGTTGAGGAAATCCTGCCTTGTACAACTACCCTCTAATTACTAGCGTAACAGCAAAGTATTGACATTACATGGGGTTGCTGTCATAACATATGAGTACTGTTAAAGGTCTTGTAGTTGTGGGGTCGCAGAATCGCTGGTGATTTAACATCTCTCCAGCAGGAGAAAATGTAATTGTCAAACGTGCTGCGACAAATGAGTGCAGAAGAAGAAAAAACCCTTTATCTGGTGGATTTGAAACATTAGAAATGGAGTCCGACGGTCAGACTTAGTTCCACAGCAGGATGTGATAGGGATGCGATGGGAAAATTTGCAAAGAAAAGAGCAAAACAAATTACAGCGTGAGTTCAAATCTATCCCTATTCTAATCAGACCGTTATTCTGCTAACATAAGAGCGATGCTGTGCTCGTTACACGCAGGCAGAGCGCCGTAATTGAAGGGGAACGGGTCTGAGTATCACACCACAATCAGAAGGCTCGCAACCGGGCCTTTGATTGTCCTCTAGCACAGACAGCTGTGGGAAGGACCCAGGCAGCGGCTACAGCAAAATGTAATCTGCTCCGCTCGCTCTCAACACGTTTCAGAGGCGAGACACACATGCCTGCTCACACACACACACACACACACACACACACACACACACACA